GTTAAAAACTATGAGACAATACCTTTAAATTCAGTTTTTTGAAGGCTCCATATATCTTCGGAATCCATATCTTAGATAATTAAATTAGATATGCTTTTAAGAATTTAGCTGTTTAAAAGCAGCGAAAATCGGTCCATAAGAATCGGAGTTATGGTCAAAACAAATATGATCAAGAAATTATTGTGACAAAAGTATACTTTCGGTAAAAATTAATATATATATATTAATATATATATATATATATATATATATATATATATATATATATATATATATATATATATATATATATATATATATATATATTTAAATTTTAAAATAAAAAAATAAAAACTTAAAAAAAAAAATGGTTTATATTATAAATAGGGGTTGGTGCGTGATGTTTTTGATTCAAAATGACCTAAAAAAATATTTTTATTACTTATACAACAGTGGCCTCCAGTAGGTTAGTGTTCTAGTGTTCTAGTGTTCTAGACCGGAGGTGGTGGGTTCGATTCCCACCTGAGGCACTGGTTAAGGAGCGCACAACAGGCCCGATAGAGGCCTAGGTGTATTTCTTCGGATTTGATGTATATACATCCTCCTTTCAAACTAACTAACTAACTATACAACATTGGCCATCTCCTGGTGGTATGCCAACAATTTCGCCAAATTAGTTATATCCCTACACAGAAAAAATTATTAGTAGTTTATTTTCAATTAACATGTGTTTCTCTTTCTTTAATTTTAATTTAAGCAATTTTTTATTTGTCTTAATTATCTCGTTGTTTAAAACCTAAGTTACAAATTTGATTAAATTTTTAATTGATTCAATTAGTTTTTTAATTGATTGAAAAAAATTTTCTGGCCAACTTTTCTATTTTAGTTTTTTTTTTAATATTTTATTTTGATTTCTTATGGTAACAATGTTTATAATTCTTAAATAGTCAATACGATTTTAGGCATATAATATTCAAGTTTCATGACAATTTATAAAACACTTTATATGTTCAAATTTGATAATAAAGTGATATTTTTTGTAAATGCTCAATGCATTGTTAAAGGTCAAGCATTCCTTTAACATTGTGAGTAATCAATCAATAATTTGATTGTTTTAATAATCAACTTAATTGGTTTTTAATACATTTTTTACCAAACAAACTAATTCATTTGATTAATAAATTAATAAAAATTAGATTTTATTTTTATTAAATATTTAATTTATACAATTAATGAATTAATCAATTTTAAATTTTGTCTCAATTATTGATATTAATTGTTCTGATTAATTCCATATTTGGAAAAAAAAGTATTTTTTTAATTTTTTTACAAATTTGATAATTGATATCATCATTTTGGTTATAGGTGCTTGATACTATTATTTTGAACATTGAAACATATTTTTAGTTTTTTCTGTGTAATATACATACATACGTACGACATCTTTTAACATTCCCAGTAAACAATTTTTCAGACATGCCTGATGTCGGAAATTTTCTGAAATAATTCTTATACTTTATCAGAATTTTTAAAGAATTTCTAAAATTCCCTTAGACATTTTGCAGAATAATCGGCAAAATGTTTATTAGACTTTTCTGCACATTTTCTGAAGTATTAAACGATTAACATCAGACTCGTATGCACCTTGTCGAAAGGCAATTTCAGTGTTACGACAATTATGAGACTACTCTGAACATTGTCGGAGGACAATTTGATCTTTTCTTATATTTTTCTTTAGACATAAGGGAGAATAGTCTGCACTTTTTCTGAAGTAAAATATAAAATGGCTATCCATGGCTATAAAATTATATCCGATAAATCTGCACAATATCTGATGTGAATTGTTTTTGTAACTTCATCAGACAATTAATTAAAATTTCCTTTAGATATTTAACAGAATAGTCTGTACATTTTCTGATATTTTTGCTCGGTCATTTTGTTCCCACTTTCAGTTCTTTTGTAAGAAAATTTTGCGACAAATCTGCTAATATTTTTCGGTTTAATTTTTGTATATAAATAAATTGCTGAAACTTTAAACTCATTTTGCTGCAAAAAATTTGCTGGAGATTCGTGAAGTTAATTTCGAGGCGACGATGTACATACATACATTAACATAATTTGATAACCCACTAAACAATTTTTGCCGAATTCGTAACGAATTCGTACCGACAGTCTGCACAAGTTGCCGATTTCGTATCCGAATTCCGTCAGAATTCGTTACGAAAATCGTATGAAAGGTTGCTCGGAATTCTGAACTCTTTGTCTGAGGAAATTCGGAAAAATGTGCAGAGCTGTCGGTCAGAATTCACATATGCAGATGTTGTTTACTTGATTTCCAAAGACCAACTGAGAAAGTAAAAGAAAAAAATTAAGTTCCCTTTCAGGTTTTTGCATGATTTTTATTAAAAAATAAAACAAAATTTCCTTCAGATAATGTGCAGAGTTGTCGCAAAGTTTTCTTACAAAAGTACTGAAAATGGGAACAAAATGACCGAGCAAAAAATATCAGAAAATGTACAGACTATTCTGTTAAATATCAAAAGAAAATTTTTATTATTCGCTTAATTGTCTGACGAAGTTACAAAAACAATTCTCTTCAGATTATGTGCAGATTTATCGGATATAATTCTTAAGCCATTTTATATTTTACTTCAGAAAATGTACAGACTTTTCTCCTTTATGTCTAAAAGATAATATAGGAATAAAAAAGCAAATTGTCCTCCGCCAATGTGCAGATTGGTCTTATAATTGTCGTAACACTGAAATATCCTTTCGACAATGAGCAGACAAGTCTGATGTTAATCGTTTAATACTTCAGAAAATATGCAGAAAAGTCTTACAAACAGTTTGCCGATTATTCTGTAAAATGTCTAAAGGAAATTTAGAAATTCGTTAAAAATTCTGATGAAGTATAAGAATTATTTCAGAAAATTTCTAACATCAGACATGTCTGAAGAAATTGTTTAATGGAAATATCATTCTTTAAAATCGCTACAAAACTTATGTTCCCCCCAATAACAATCATATAGTCAAAACAAATAATCATTTGTGCCTATAACTGATATTAAAATGTTTCAATTTCGAAACATTCTCTTGTAGGTCAGGATTTTATATTTTTAAATTGAAAGCTTTTCTCTTAAATCCCTTAAACATTTCTCAGAGAACAACGGTTTTTTGAGAGTATGCGTAGTTTTCCATGGGAACGAAATGAATCGTTTGTTTGAGAAAACACAATGGAAAGATGAGTTCATAATGAAGTTTACCGGCATTTTTTAAAAGGGATATTTAGAATTCCATTTGAATGTAAACAAGACTAAAACGATTCAGTTGTTATTTTGATTTCATGGCTAACGGTAGTGGATACGGAAGTTGATAACTTTTTTATTACTTTGCATAAAAACGTAAATAATACGTTAAAATAAGAAATATATATTTAATAAAGTGAAAATAAAAAAAAATTAAACCAATATAATTAGTTTTGAATTTCGTATTTAATAAAACAAGTCTTCAAAATCAAATTTAATTCAAGAATGAAGCAATATTTCTTTGTAGTTAGAATTTGAGTAATAAATTTTATGTTTTCAACATATATATATTTGAGTTTATTTCAGAAACTGAAGGTTTTGATAGGTGGATGTATAATTATGTCCATATTTCCTAGTTACATACATTTATACCGGAAGTTTCAAAACTGTTTACTAAGTACTTGATAATGTTTTTTTTAACTTACCAGAGTTCATACATATTTACGAACTGCAATTTTATGGTAATATAGCGTTTCAATGGTTATTGTACAAATTTTTCAAAATAACTGTCGCTTTGTTGCACTCTAAATCTAAGGCCCATTATTACAACTTGGCAATAACTGAAGGTAAGATTTTATGACGATAATGCGTTTCTCGTTATAATATGAAAGAAAGATCTTATCATGCTTTATTGATATCCTTTAACTAAAGTACAATTGTAATAACTAGAACCGAGTTATCTGCATTTTAAAATCCTACCTTTTGTTATTGCCAAGTTGTAGTTGGATCTGAGGCAAATTGAATATATTTACTACATATGTATATTGTCAAAATTAACAAAAATCAAAAAAATATAGTAAAGCTTTCACACAGACAAAAGTTAATATGCATGTGAAATTAGAGTGCATTTATTTGTAGCAATTCTGCATACTCCATTTTTTATAATCAGGTCCTTATAAAAGGACTTTAAAATTTAAAGAACTCAACATTTCAAACAAATATTTTAAATATTTATATGTATTGTATACTACTAATATTGGTATCAAATGAAAGCTGGGAATCTGCTGGTACTTTCTGTCTATATTATTTATTTGGCTCACTTAGACATAAGAATACATACAAATAAATTAGTTTTAAAAAGGTCTAATTATCTAAAAAAAAATTAACTACTTTTTTTGTAAAAAATATTCTTCAAGCTTCCATTTCTTTCTTGAATTGAAATAAATAACAATATTTAGAAGCGGAGATTCTAAGCTTCCTTTGATATTAATAATACATTTTCTTATAACTTTGTAATTTCTTCTTTTGAAATTATATGTCCTTTAGACTTTAAGGTCCTTTTTCAGGGTCATAAGAGTTGATTATAAAAGACTTTTTAATACAAATGGTCCACAGTTTATTGAATATATAGTTTTTTTCATGTGTGAAAATGCACGGTGTAATAAAAAAAATAATAAGTAATAATATGAAATTAAGTAGATGATTGAAGCGAAATATTAAAAAAGAAATGTAAATAATATTCGATGAATATTAAGAAAATTAAAGCAGTTCTGGAAAAAATTATAAGGCACAATTTTATAGGATTCAACATAATTTACAAATCAAGCATCAAGCTATATTTACCTATAATTTAGCTGTTTTATAAAATACGAATTTCATTGACAGGTATAAGTGATACAATGAGATTAAAATTCTACAGAATACTTCGAATGATAATAATCTTGTACAAAAATAAAGTGTTTAAAAGTGCGCTGTAAAATAACAACAAAAAATTGTAAATAACAGAAATTTGTATATAAAAATAATGCTAAATTCATGGCACCTAATGATCGTTATCCCACTCGGCTGTTTGTGGAATTCTTGCTTGATTGAAACCTCCAAGCCTTGTCCTTTGGAATGTATATGTTTATCTCAAACTCAAGTAAGTTGAAAAGATGAAATTTGTGAGAAAAACCTTCAGTATAAGTATTTATGTATGTATAACACTTACGACTAATTAAAAGAATAGTAAATTAAGTTTTTAACTTAACTTCTACTACAATCAGCGGTGTAACAGTGAAATCTACAATTCTCAAGTTTTTAGGGCCTATGAAATGCAAAACTTATATTGTGTTTTGTTCTATAAAGCAAAAAATGTTTAAATATTGTTTGTCACTCGCTAACATTTCTTTATATTAGTGGCTATCGTGCTTACTAATTACAATTAGGATATCAAATCAATGTATACCAAATTTTCCGCGTTTCATAAGTTTACGCGTCAATACTCGGGTAACAAAATTAATATTGCAAAATTTCTTTCTGAAAGTGTTTTTAAGCGTTAAAAAATTTTCTTGAATTGAACCCAAGAATGCCAAAGTGTAATTTTATAGAGGTTTGATTCTTAAACATCTAGACTCTAAATACATATAAAGGATATCCAGAAGTTTTGTCTAAATCTATTTATAGATACACAAAATTTGGCATCTTTCCCATATAAAACAACTTTGGCGGAGAAGAGTGGGCTCTTACCCTTAAAATAATTGATTAATACTTCAAATAGAATTAGATGTTGCTTCTAATGAAAAATGTATTTTCGACCCACCCTGTATATTAACAAGATGAACATTAGGGTGGGTCGAAAATCAGCTTTTCTCCCGGATCAACTTTTAATAGTGAAAATATGTTGTATTGTAAAGTCAAATGGAAGACTGTAAAATATTATTCAATTATTTTGTGGGTAAGAGCCCGCGCATCGCCGCCAAAATTTGTAAATGCGTTTATATGGGGGGGAAATTACACTTATTTATTATTTTATTTTTTATGAAAATAAGGTATTAAGTATTAATTTTTATAGCAAAATCGTAATGTGTACAAAATTGCCTTTTCAAAAACATAGAAAAACTAAAAATTGGTTAAAAAAATGTTCAGTTATTAAAATTTTTCCCGAGAATTTTTTGGTTCTGACAACACATAAAAGTAAACATAAGACATTTTTTTAGTTTTGAAAAAATTTACAAACAAATATAATGATTACATTTACAAGATCCATAAATATTCCTATACGAATTTTTGTTCAAATTGGATAACGCTTACTTGGTTTAGTTTGCGGTCAAAAAAGGTCCATTATTTTAACAGCATCTCCCAAATTCCATTTTCAAACTTTTAAAAATTTTGTTAAATGGATTTAAAACAAGTTAGAGTGCTATATTCGGCTGACCAGATACCACCTGATACTTTTTTATTAATACTTATTTAATTGATCAAATATTTGTAGAAATATATTTTCTCGTGACTTTTAATAGAAAACCTACAAGATTTAAATAGCCCAAATCTGCTACAAATGCAAGATTTATTGAACATTACAAACACCATTTTTTGTATATTTTGATAGTGCCCTCCATATTCTTTAGCGATATTTAATAATTTGCATGTACATAAGGAAATTCAAATAATATATTGTTGTACACATATTGTTTATACTAAACTAATTTTAATAAAGATGATTTTCGGAACGGACCTAGTATGGGAGATCTGACCAATTGTAGACCGATCGTAACAAATTCTTACAGCAACATTTCTGTATATAAAATGTATATTTCAGTCAAATTTTGTATCCATATCGTTATTTTGTAATAAGTAATATGTGTCTAAGTGCTTTTTGGAAGGGGACTTGCATAGGAATGATCGCACCCATATTATAACAAACTTCCACATTCTGAAAGGACACCATTATTTGGTAATGATATTTGCTAATTATTCGGAAGAGGACCTTGTATGGGAGCTACGACCAATTATGAACCGATAGTAAAAAAATTAAAATAACATTTCTGTGTATAAAAGTAATATTTGTGCCAAATTTTGTGTGGATATCTTAGTTTTGTAAAGTGTAATGTGCGTTTAAGTGTTTTTCTGAAGGGGAGCTTGTATGGAAGCTTTGACCAATTGTGGACCGATCGAAAATATGTGTACCAAATCTTGTAATAGTAATGAGTTATGTGCGTTTAAATGATTTTCGGGAGGGGACCTTGTATGGTGCCTAAATATGGACCAATCGTGAATAAATTTTAAAATTACATTTCTTTGTACAAAAGTAACATTTGTCCCAATTTTGTACGCATATCATTATTAGGTAATGAGTTATATGCTTTAAAGTGTTTTTCTTAAGGGGACCTTGTATAGGAGCTATGACCAATTGTGGACCGATCCGAAAAAATCATATCATATCTATATATAAAAGCAATATTTGTGCCAAATCTTGTATTGATATCATAATTTAGTAATGAGTTATGTGCGTTTATGTGTTTTTCTGAAGGGGACCTGGTATGGGAGCTATGACCGATATGAATTCTATTGATATAAAACTTTAATTTGTAAAATTTTTTTCTAACGAAAGTTATTACTAAAACTCATTTTCCGGAAATATGTACATTTGTATGGGAGGTTTATGAAGTTGTGGACCGATTCCGCCAATTTTCACCAATAATCAAGCTTTCATATAGAAACAAATGGGTTGTGATTTTCCTTAAAGTAAAGTTTCTCTGAAAATTACATTAGAATGCACATAGGGGCACAGACATATTAAAAAGGGCCATAAATCAACCACTGGCTTTTGGTACAAGTGATTGGTATCATTGAAAAGATAATATTCTCTAATTTTTTGAATACGTAAAAATATTATAACCCACCGAAAAATTATAAAATATAAAAATACCAAAAATATTTTTGAAAATTTTTCCTAAATATTGGAATTATAAAAGTTAGTAAATATTAGAATAATGTTATATATGTTTAATATATCTTTAAATAAATTAAAATACACTTAAATAAATTTTTGGGTCAATTTTAAAACAAGTTAACAGGGTACAGAATTCATTGAATATTTCATGATCATAAGTACTTAGACATTTACTAATCGAAATTTTTCTCAATATATGTATGTATGTAGTAACAATTGCAACCTTAATTTTATGATTAAGTCGTTTCTAATCATTACCTCAAAGTTAAAGGAAAATTTTAGTAACAAAGTACTATAATGCATTCATTGATATTGTAATTCGAAATTATAATCCTTAAATGTATCAATATATTATTGTACAGATCGTTAATCTAAAAATGTACTATAATAGCGGTAATTACTTAGAATCTTGTTTAGAATATTTTCTAAGGAATATTGAGATAAGAAGTTAAATTAAGTAATATATTGGACATATTATTAACTGAAGTTAGCTACTTTTAAGCATTTATTACTTCCCAGTAATGAACATACAAACTGTAGACATATTCTATTAAAATGTATACCATATACATATGTTATAAATGTATACCAATTGGATATATAAACAAATTTAATAGTTTTCCGATACCTAACTATTCTGATTGAAACTTTAATCGAATGTTTACTGGGTAATGCTTATGTTTATTTAAATTTTGTATCTATTTTAGAGCTTAGACATTATAATATATTCAAAAAACCATATAAAACAATGATTATAACCGATATTTTACTTAAAGAAGTTAAATTAATACTAAATAAAGTACAAAAAAGGTGGCATCTCTAAAAACAAAAAAATTAAAATTCAGTATTAAATAATTTATAATTTTACCAATTTTAGAAAAAATATTGACTTTTTGCATATAAACCTTATTGAAAGCAGTTATTAAATAAATCAGAATGAAAAAATCATTGTGTATATGAATATTTTCAATCTCGAAAAAAATCAAAAAGCCGCAAATGTTAAAAAAAATTATAATTCTAGACATTCCTTATTTTAACGGATATATAATAGTTATGGGCAGTTTTGGGCATTTGTTTTACTTTTTTACCTTTAAAGTTTTGAAAATTAAAAAATAATAATTATAATTTTCGTTTCAAGTTAACTGTGCATTTCGACACTTGTTACCATTATTATGTCTTAAAAATTCGTAAATTAATTCTCAACGAAATATAATATTATAATTCGTAAAGAAAAAGTAGATTTTTTACAATAGAACGTCGTATTATTAACATCAAGTATAGGTCCTTCAACAGGAATTATTACTCCATTTCAAATATTTTATTTTTCATCAACTTTCAACTCAGCTCAAGCTCAAATTAAAGCTTCTAGGAAAATTGTTGTGAACAAATCTTATGCAGAAAAGTGTCTACTTTCAAGTAATATATCATTTGTTTTATAAAGATCAGTTTGCATTTTTGACGTCTTTGGATGACTAAATCAAACACAAGGTAGATATCAATTTCTATGTGAAATATAAATTACGATTTGTTGAACATTTAAAAAAATTCTGTAATCTTAGATTATTTCTTTTTTAAAGAATTTACAATAAATGTTTATATTTTTTAGAACAATAAGTTTGCCAGTTTGTTTAAAAAAAGTGTTAAAAAACAGTATGGACTATATGAAATTTTTTTTTATACAATATTAGTTATGCATGCAAAGAAAATTTGGACTTTAAACGAAAATGGCCTATAGGCGAAGTAAACTTAAGAACAAATAATTTGTATGAAATTCGAAAAAAAAATAGGATTGTTTTGTCTTACATCCGTTTTTGGCCTTAAAGCGGAATGGACTATAAGCAAAAAGTACTGTACTATGGGGATTTTTTCAAAAATTTTTTTTACTTATGTGTACAGGGACATTTATCGATATATTAATTGGGTTAGGATTTAGCAAAAGCACCTATGTAATTTCCATATATTAAATGCTCCAACAAAAACATATACAGATGCTGTGCTAATAAGTAGAAATTCTAAGATAAATGATTTAATAAGAATTAAATAAGTATTTTCTGCTAATTTATGAAAGAATCGTAATCACAATATCTTTATTAGTGTTAATCTAATTGATATTTTTAAGTAGCATTGCTAAGGAAAATTAAAAGAAAATAATTCGAAAAGAACTGATGATCCGCGAAAATAATCTTTACCAAAATATTGGAAATTGT